TAACTATGTCTGTTTCTGAGTATAACCATTGATTTTATCTTATTAATAAATGGTGTTGTAGTTAATGTAGTAGGCTGGTACAGCCTATTTTATCTTTTTGTGTCTAGTCACTGGACATGTGCTTCCTAGATCCTTTCTTCTCGGGGGGAAGGGGGGAAGTGCACTTTGGCCTCCTTGCCTTGAGTGTCAGAGGACCCTGCCCTGGCAATAGTGGGGTAAATGGTACCCCATCCTTTGTGTCAGTGGGAAAAATAGGGCCCCACAGTTGCTGACTGTGAGAGGAATAGTGCTCTATCAATGGTATCAGTAATGTGAGTGGGAACAATAATGCCCCATTTATAGTGTAATTTGGGGGGAAAGTGCCCCATCAATGGTGTCAATGGGAGGAATAGTGCCCTATCAATGGTGTCTGTGGAAAGAATAGTGCCCCATCAATGGCGTCAATTTAGGGAATGGTGCCCAGTCAGTTATGTAGGTGGGAGGAATGGTTCCCCATAAATGGTGTCAGTGGGAGGAATAGTGCTCTGTTGTTAGTGGGGCACTATTTGACATTGACACGGATAGTGTCAGTTGGAGGGATAATGCCCAGGGGCGGACTGACCATTCAAGCACTCGGGCATTGCCCGAGGGCCCAGGGTCAGTAGGGGGCCCCATGAAATGCCCCTGTTACCTTTTTATAGGCTTTTTTGGGTGTGCTTTGAGTGTGGGCAAGGACACAGGGGCCCCATGATCCCCTATTGCCCAGGGGTCCTATGAGTTGTCAGTCCGCCCCTCATAGTGCCCCATCAATGGTGTCAATGGGAGGTATAGTGACCAGTCAATGGTGTAAATGGGAGAAATGTATTTATTACAGGTACTTATATAGCGCCGTCAATTTACAAAGCGCTTTACATATGTATTGTACATTCACATCAGTCCCTAACCCTCAAGGGGCGTACAATCTAAGGTCCCTAACTTATATTCATACATACACATACTAGGGCCAATTTAGATTGTAACCAATAAACCTACTAGCATGTCTTTGGAATAAATAGTGCCCTATCAATGGTGTCAGTGGGAAGAATAGTGCCCCATCAATGCTGTCGATTTGGAGAATAGTGCCAAGTCAGTAGTGTAGATTGGAGGAATAGATCCCCATAAATGGTGTCAGAGGGAGGAAGGGTGCTCTGTTGTTGGTGTCAGTGTCATACAATGAAGAATGGCTCTCCATTATTGGGGTCATTGGGAGGAATAAGGGCTATTTTAGGCCAAGCAAAAGGACAGACATTTTGGAACCACTGCCCTAAAGAAATCAGTGCTGCATTTTATAGAATTAACTAGACAAACAATTGTGTAGCAAAAGGCTGGAGCTGATCAGAGTAAAATCAATATGCAAGTAAACCTGAATGGTAACAGCATCCAGCCATGGCCATGGTCAGCCCGTTATAGTAATTAGGTTCTGCTACTGCTGCATGACTGGAGCTTTGACATTTTATTACAGGTGTGTAGACAAGTCTAACTAGGTGCTAATGAAGGTGCAGTTGTGTGATGACAGACTACGGAATACCTGTAGGATGAAATCTAATGATTTCCAGACTATAGGGGTGTGAGTTACTGCTATTTATATTCTGCAGTTCATCAGACAGGCACACAGAAATAAACTAAGGGGAAGGTGAACTAGGACAGACAGTACGTGACAGAGATTAAATATGGGACTTGGAAAGCAGCAGGACATTGCCTGTGATTCCCTACCAGAAAGACACATATGAAGAGAAATGAGTTTTATGTAATTGGACTTCCTCACTTAGGATGGTATTAGCTCCCTGCTGCTCTTTGCCTGCTGTTTCAACATGTGTGTGGGAACAATAGAAAGTCAGGCTATCTGCATCTGCATTCTGGAGGAAACAACATGATCAGGTTAAATTCTTCATCAGTGTCGGATGGCAAAGCAACAAGTAACCACTTAAAGTGGATCCAAAGTGTGGACTACCTTTTCATTTTTGATAGATTAAGGAGCAATTGAAAAAGTAATGTCATTACTTTTTTATGCCTCCATCAGGGTTGCCATATGTCTGTATTTTCACAGACAGTTTGTAAAAAAGCACTCATTTCAACCATTCATAAAGCCTATGGACAGGAGAAACTGTCAATAAACATATACTTGCTGGCAGGCAGTGCAGGTACATGCTGTATATAGGGAGTGCAGCACTTTATTGTATTTATCACTGCATTCTGGGTCTATTTCCAGTGTTATTGTGCAAGTGTGTCTGCCCCACTTATACAGTTGTGTTCAAAATAATAGCAGTCAGACATCACTAACCTGATTAATCACTGTTTTTGGTAGAAATGATATTTCTACATGGCAAATAATTTACTAGCAGGTGTAGTAGAGTAATAGAAATCCAACATACCCAACAGTCATGACATGCATGCTGCTGATTTTGTGTAATTGAATCACTAATTGAAAGGGGCATGTTCAAAATAATAGCAGTGTGGAGTTCTATTAGTGAGGTCAGTCATTCTTTGAAAAACAGGTGGCAATTATTGCCCTTATTTAAAGGAAGGAAGGCAGCAAATGTTGTACATGCTGGTTACAGTGCATTTCTCCCTGAAATTCTGAGGAAAATGGGTTGTTCCAGACATTGTTCAGAAGAACAGCGTACCTTGATTAAAAAGTTGATTGGAGAGGGGAAAACATATAAAGAAGTGCAGAAAATGATAGGCTGCTCAGCTAAAATGATCGCAAATGCTTTAAAATGGCAACCAAAACCTGAAAGTTTTTCGCTTTCTTCCATGTCTACCATTCAAATGGATAGAATAGCCAAAATGGCAAGGACTCAGCCAACAATCAGCACCAGGAAGATCACAGAAGGTCTAAAGTTACCTGTGAGTACTGTTACAATTAGAAGACTCCTATGTGAAGCCATGCTATCTGCAAGAAGCCCCCACAAAAGTCCCACTGTTGAAAAAAAGACGTGCTGAAAAGGTTACAATTTGCCAAAGAGCACATTGACTGGCTTAAAGAGAAATGGCGCAACATTTTGTGGACTGATGAAAGTAAGATTGTTCTTTTTGGGTCTATTGGCCGGTGACAGTTTGTCAGACGACCCCCAAACACTGAATTCAAGCCACAGTACACTGTGAAGACAGTGAAGCATGGTTGCGCAAGCATCATGATATTGGGAGGTTTCTCATACTAAGGTGTTGGGCCTATTTATCGCATACCAGGGATCATGGATCAGTTTGAATACATCAGAATTCTTGAAAAGGTCATGCTGCCTTATGCTGAAGAAGAAATGCCCTTGAAATGGGTGTTCCAACAAGACAACGACCCCAAACACACCAGTAAACGTGCAACATCTTGGTTCCAGACCAACAAGATTGACGTTATGGAGTGGCCGGCCCAATCCCCGGATCTTAATCCAATAGAAAACTTGTGGGGTGACATCAAAAATGCAGTTTCTGAGGCAAAACCAAGAAATAGAGAAGAGCTGTGGAATGTAGTCCAATCATCCTGGGCTGGAATACCTGCCAGAAGTTGGTTGACTCCATGCAACACAGATGTACAGCAGTTCTCAGAAACAGTGCTTATACAACTAAATATTCATTAAGTGATTCAAAGGAAAGCAAAATCTTCAAACATTTTTCAGTTTATATAGTGAATGTTCGAGTTTGTAAAGAAGAATACAAACACTGCTATTTTTTTGAACAGTCTAATATTCACTATTCTTCACTTTTTTTAGAGGAACAACACAAATTTGATATATTTTTTCTTCAAGTTTTGATTTGGAATAGAATGTGTAGTGTTCCCAATGTATTTGTGTGTATGGAAATAAAAGCTATTAGAAGGATTTTGAGCTTTATTCACTTTTTTCAACACACTGCTATTATTTTGAACACAACTGTATGTACGGGTGGGCTGTGGATATGTGCTAGTGTGGCTAAGGGAATATCTCCTGTTGCTCTGAATCATTCCCTTAGCCACACTTGCGCATATGCACAGCCCACCCGGACATATAAATGGGGCAGACACACTTGCTCTGTTAAAGAACCCTGTCATAGGGTTTTATGTATAATAACAAATGTGACAAAGATCCACACAGCTCCGTGGATACTTGCCTAGATATTGCTTACGATCATAGGAAATAATTATATTATACAGAAGATGGTAAGTCTTGCTGGAGCTGTACAGCTGTTTGTTACACTCATTCAGCAAACTTTCTATACATAGACCCCTTAGATTTGTGTCATTTAGGTTTGTGCGATCCTAATTTTCTGTGTCTTTCATCTGTCCTCGCTCTTGTTATTCTGTTCCTGGAGTGTTATTAGTTCCCTAGTCTTTTCCAGCTTCCTGTACTCTTGGTTCTGACCCTTCGCCTGGCTTTACATATGTGCGGTGCAGTATATCGCATGTGATTTGTACAGGAACCGCACCACATGCCTGTGCAAATTACATGCGATTTGTGTGCGGTGCAATTGGAGCCATACATTATGTATGGCTCTAATCTCACCACACCTGCACCAAAAACATGCAGGATCCTTCTTTGGGTCCGCACGAGAATGGGATCGCATGGCTATTCACACCTATGTGATCCGATTCTGCACATCACACCACGTTTTGCAGAACCGCTTTAGAGGTGTTGTTAACATACACACCCGCAGCGGTTCGCATGAATGGGGTGCGATTCTGATGCTGTGTGGAATTTGCACTGAAAACACTGCAAATTCCGCACTGCATCAGTATGAACCAGGGCTTAGTCTGCTTCTCTACTAGTCTGTCTGTCTTGACCCTATTACCTGCCTTTGCCTGTTATATGCCATGATCCTGTTAATGCTATCTCTGACCTGTTGGAATCCATAGATTCAACATGATCTTGCAAGAATGCTTCCTGTCCTTATTATGTCCCTACTCAACCCTTTGGCGTAGATGCTCAGCTTTGGTTACCTCTGGAAGTAACCCTGGCTACTTACCATGTATACTGCACAGTCCATAGCTTAAATGGCCTCCTATTAAACTGTTACTAAACCCACAACAGTAAAATCAGTCTGTATATGCAGTAAAGCATGCTTGTTATACTCACTGTGGAACCTAAGGGGTTAATCCTCTACATTGTGTAAAAAGACTGTTTGATTCTGTCTTCTGTGTTCCTCCCCTTTTTCAAGCGACCACCACTTAGCTCCAAACTGAACTGTAGGCATGCACATGCTCAGTTTGATATGTATTCCTATAGAGGGTTTTTTTTTTTCTTGGGAGAGTACATGTGATCAGCACAGGGCCAATCAGCACTGTCCAGATAGAGGTCAGGGGATTTGTATCCTCCTAGAGCAGAAGGAAAACTCCTCCTACACGCTTTAGCTAGTGGTGGGCTGGACACTAATAGAAGTCACAAGACTGCTGTAACTTCTGATGAGAAAAGGTATTTAGCAGTTTATATTTACTAGAATAATTGCACTTCCATGTTGTGTGTACTGTGGGAGACCAGATATAGTGAATGCAGGGTCCTGGGTTTAGTAACATTTTAAGATTCAGTAGTCTGGCACTTAAAATGCAACCTATGCATGACATCTCTACATCTTCATTAGAACATCATCTTTAACCACCTCCCATCCGGCCGTTGTATATAAACGGCCGGAAGGTGGCAGTGCAGGGTTGGGTGGCCGTTTATAAAATGGCCTACCCGCACCCTGGGAGCACGCAGCACCATGACCCGGTGCCCACCGATCATCGTATGGGACCTCTGTGTGAGGTCCCGATCATGTGATCACTGATTGGCCAATCAGTGATCACATGCAGAGTAGTAAGCAAGATGTCACTTGTGACATCATTGCTTACTACTTGTGAAATCTGTGAATGATCACAGAGGTCACATGGTACAAGGCTATTCACAACAGCCTTGTACCATGTGACAAGCTGTGACCAATCACAGCTCACTCAGTAGTTCTCAATGGCTGCAAGAATGCAGCTAGAGAGAAGGAGAAATTATTGCTTTTACATCCTTTATGGATGTAAAAGCAATCAGTGTAAAAAAAAAAAAATCGTCATCACCCCCCACAAGAAGTACAGTGTCATCATGTTGACAATGTACTGCTAGGGTGACAGTATGTAAAAAAAAAAAAAAAAATAATAATAATAAATAAAAAATATAAAAAAATTAAAAAAAATATTTAAAACATAATTTTTGGTTATAAACTAATTTGGGTTATTTTTTTTTACTAAAAATATAACGGAATACATTTTGGCCAAGATTTATGATGAAATACTATTTATTTGCAAACTTTAAGAAAAACACTTTTTTCAAAATTTTTGGACATTTTAATTTACATAGCAAAAAAAATGAAAATCCTAGTGGTGAATAAATACTACCAAAATAAAGCTTTATCTGTCTGAATGACAATTGCATTGTCATGCAACACTGTACCCATATGAATTTTTTAGCATTTTTTTTTAAAGTGTGATAGCACTGAAAGCTGAAAACTGGCCTGGACAGGAAGGGGGTAAAAGTGTCCAGACTGGAAGTGGTTAATGATACCGCCTTATTTTGTGTTGTAACTTAAAATGTCTGTTTTGCAAAAATAAAATTGTATATTTTCTAAATTATTAAATTGTCTAGTTTACCATTTGATAGGATTGTGCAGCTAAAGTCCCACCAACAAGAGGACCTTTTCACTTTAGTCTGGCACTTAAGTCATGGGGACCCCAAGTACTAGCAATGCATTTAAAGGAAGAGTGGTAGATGCTAAAGGTGAAATGCATCTGTTGTCATCAGTCATTAACAAAGCCTGACCTTACAGTGAATGTTCCCAGAGAGGACACAGACAAAAAAAACATTGACATGGGTTCTAGCTTCCCCCAGCAATACACAGGACTCCATCCTCTCTGAGTTTACAGAGCAGCTGATTACACCACATTTGACAGCTCTTTAGTAGATCTAGCGCGCTAGTGCGGACTTTCTAGCTGACAGCCCAATGGTGCATGGTTCTCCTTAGGGTTTCCAGGCATTTGGCTCTCTGGGTGGTTTGTGGTTTTCATGTTGAAAATTTTTTGCTCTAATGTGAGTGCGATATTGTTTTATTTTCTGTTAAAAATACCAATATTTCTGCACCCTGTATCAGCTGAATCCCCTCTCCTCACCATATCAAGGAGCTGCAGGAATTGCTGAGTCAAGGGAAAGAAAAACCATACACAAGGGCTCAAGTCCGTAAGCCTCCCAGGACCAAAGTAACAGTCACTTGTTGGGGTGCAGACCTCTAAAGATCGGGGAATCTTGATGGTACTGGAAGAAAGCAAAGAAAGAAGGGGCGCACTCTCCTTGTGCATAACCGAGAAAAAAAAGGAATTTATTTAAAATGACAAAAGTGTATACTCACAAACCAAGACTCATAATACAAGCTTCTTCAGTTCTGTCTCCTGAAACACGTTAGCACACCCTGCTGTCAGATTACCATTTTTTCGGACTGTCACACTGGTTTCCAGCTTGTATTAGGAGTCTTGGTTTGTGAGTATACACTTTTGTCATTTTAAATAAAAAACTTGTTATCACGGTAATGCATGAGGAGAGTGCGCCCCTTCTATACTTTCTTCCTGCAGGAATTGCTGCCTATTTTCTAGAGACATTATGGACCAAAACATCTTTGTGGTCATGCGGTTTATTAGATGTGTGCTACTGCTCTTTTACATCTTTATGGTTCCAACTTTCCCCTACTATAACAAAACAATTTGGTGAGAATGAGACCCAGTTCACCCTGATGTGACCTATAATGCAACTTGCGACACATAAAGTTTCATGACAAGTCAAAACACAATAGTTTCAAAGGATTCCATCTTAATCAATTCGACTTCAGTCTCAGCAACAAAAAAAAAACAGTTTCTGCATTACTTTTCTGTGACTTCTATGCCATAAACTGCAATCACTAAATCACAATAGTTGGAAGCAAGTCAAATGACTTTGGGGGTCGCATCAGTGTGAACCAAGTCTAAGTTGACAATAGATCTACCACCCACCATTTTGCGAATTACTGTATACTTGATTATTCTGGTTGGTGTTTATGCCATATTCTATCATATCGTATGTCGTTGTTTTTGCTACTTCACATATTGATGGCCAACTAACTCGAAAGAGCCATATGCAAGTTGGAATAATTGCATCTGAGCTAAATGCACAGTTGGCCACGGTATTATAAAGGAATGGTTGCAGAGGGCTCTGAGGTTTCTAAAAGAGCTCTCAGGCAACAAAGGAGAAGGGTAAAAGGTGTTCACTTGCTTGATTTGTAAGAATTTGTTAGAAGTCATCTCATACTTGAATGTAATATTCATACTATGCACACAGATAGAAAATGTACTGTATGTGGTATTATAGCTGAGAAGAGCATATTAGAATCACAGAACTGTAATCGTCACTCACCTTACGAAGAGTGTACTGCTGTTCCAACTCTAGCAGGGGGACAGCAGGTCTGCATGATGTCACATAGTTAAATCAGCAGTTGTACTGTCACTCAGCATTGGTTTATTGCCAGGTCTGTTTTAGAAGTGTGGACCAGGTCAATACCAGGTGAGGGATCTCTGTGCCAAGCTTAATCTCCTCTCCTGAATCAAGCGTTCTGACCATCTGTGCATTTACTGTCAGCAGCACTGCGCAAATGGAATACTAAAAGACAGCATGGAATTAAGATTTTCTAAACAGGAGTCCTACAAAACATAATCATACAATGCAGAAAGGTACAGTTTCTCCTTACTAATTCATTGTTAACCTATTGATAAGGTTTTTTTTTTTAGCTTTGAAAAGTTGATTTTTTTGAATTTGCATCCTAATATACATTGCTCAAGAAAAATTAAAGGAACACTTTTTAATCAGAGTATAGTATCATCAATTAAACTCCTGGGATATTGATCTGGTCAGTTAAGTAGCAGAGGGGGTCGTTAATCAATTCCAGCTGCTTTGGTGTTAATGAAATTAACAGCGGGTGCACTAGATGGAGAACAATGAGATGACCCCCAAAACAGGAATGGTTTTACAGGTGGAGGCCACTGACATTTTGTTCCCTTTTCATCTTTTCTGTTTTTCACTAGTTTGACATTGGGCTAGGGTCAGCGTCATTACTGGTAGCATGAGGCGATACCTGGACCCTACAGAGGTTGCACAGGCAGTCCAACTCCTCCAGGATGGCACAGAAGGTTTCTCCCAGCACAGTCTCAGGAGCATGGAGGAGATAGGCAGTTACTCTAGGAGAGCTGGACATGGCTGTAGAAGGTCCTTAACCCATCAGCAGGACTGGTATCTGCTCCTTTGTGCAAAGTGGAAAAGGATGAGCAGTGCTAGAGCCCTACAAAATGACCTCCAGCAGGCCACTGGTGTGAATGTCTCTGACCAAACAATCAGAAAGAGACTTCATGAGGGTGGCCTGAGGGCCCAACATCCTGTAATGGGGCCTGTGCTCACTGCCTGGCACCACAGAGCTCGATTGGCCTTTGACACTGAACCTCAGAATTGGCAAGTCAGCCACTGGCACCCTGTGCTTTTCACAGATGATCACCCTGAACACGTGATAGACGTGAAAGGGTCTGGGAAGCCGTGGAGAACGTTATGCTGCCTGTAACATCATTCAGCATGACCGTTTTCGTGGTGGGTCACTGATGGTCTGGGGAGGCATATCCACGGAGGGACAGACCTCTATAGGCTGGACAATGGCACCCTGACTGCCAATCGGTATCGGGATGAAATCCTAGGACCTACTGTCAGACCCTACACTGGTGCAGTGGGTCCTGGGTTTTTCCTAGTGCATGACAATGTCCGGCCTCATGTGGCAAGAGAATGCAGGTAGTTCCTGGAGAATAAGGAATTGATACCATTGAATGACCCCATGCTCGCCTGACCTAAATCCAATAGAACACCTGTGGGATGTCATGTTTCAGTCCATCCACCGCCACCAGGTTGCACCTCAGACTGTCCAGGAGCTCAGTGATGTCCTGCTCCAGATCTGGGAGGAAAAACCCCAGGACACCATCTGTCCTCTCATTAGAAGCATGCCTACAAGTCAGACATGCATACAAGCACGTGGGGGCCATACAAACTACTAAGTACCATTTTGAGCTGCTGCATTGAAATTTCAGGAAAAAGGGACTAGCCTGTGCATCATTTTTTAACTTTGATTTTCGAGGTGTCTTTGAATTCAGTCCTCTGTAGGTTGATCATTTTCATTTCCTTCAAACGATGGGGCATCCTTAGGTTCCTAACACATTACCCACTCCATATCAGTAGATATCCAGCATGATATTTTTCCCCATTGAGATCTGATGTTTTTTCAAAGTGTTCCTTTAATTTTTTTGAGCAGTGTATATTCTTGGAACATGAACATAAAAATTCCCAGCTTATCCAATTGTAATACAACACCCTAACGATCCTGATGTATTTTGTAATCACAGGTAAGGTTGCTTGCTTGCCAGAGTTAAAAAAATCTCATTATTAAAGTGGGTACAAGCCCAAAAACTCAAAAACACAAAAACTGTTTTATTATATAAAATCAAGCACCTAGGCATGCAGACTGCTTCTAGAAACATTTGTAAAAGAATGGGTTGCTCTCAGGAGCTCAGTGAATTCAAGCGTGGTACCGTGATAGGTTGCCACCTGTACAATAAGTCCATCCGTGAAATTTTCCACGGTCAGCTGTTATGTTATTATAACAAAGTGGAAGCAACTGAGAACAACAGCAACTCAGCCACCAAGTGATAGGCAACGTAAAAAGACAGAGCGGGGTCAGCGCATGCTGAAGTGTACAGTGCGCAGAAGTCGCTGACTGTCTGCAGAGTCAATAGCTAAAGGCTTCTAAATTTCACGTGGCCTTCAGATTAGCACAACAGTGCGTAGAGAGCTTCATGGAATGGGTTTTCATGACCGAGCAGCTGCATCAAAGCCTTACATCACCAAGTGCAATGCAAAGCATCAGATGCAGTGGTGTGAAGCACGCCATCACTGGACTCTAGAGCAGTGGAGACGTGTTCTCTGTAGTGATGAATCACGCTTCTCTGTCTGGCAATCCAATGGATGTGTCTGGGTTTGGTGGTTGCCAGAAGGGTACTTGCTTGACTGCATTGTGCCAAGTGTAAAAGTTTAGTGGAGGGGGGATTATGATGTGGGGTTGGGCTTGGCTCCCTAGTTCCAGTGAAGGGAACTCTTAAGGCGTCAGCATACCAAGACATTTTGGACAATTTCATGCTCCCAACTTTGTGGGAACAGTTTGGGGATAGCCCTTTCCTGTTCCAACATGACTGCACACCAGTGCACAAGTCCTGACCTCAACCTGAAAGAACACCTTTGGGATGAATTAGAGCAGAGACTGTGAGCCAAGCCTTCTCGTCCAACATCAATGCCTGACCTCACAAACGCACTTCTGGAAGAATGGTCAAACATTCCCATAGACACACTCATAAACCTTGTGGACAGCCTTCCCAGAAGATTTGAAGCTGTTATAGCTGCAAAGGATGGGCCAACTCAATATTGAACCCTTCGGACTAAGACTGGGATGCCATCAAAGTTCATGTGCTTGTAAAGGCAAGCGTTTTTTCTTAGTATCACCACGGCATGGCCTGGGTCAGGGACAGAACTAAGTTACAGTGTTTCCTGCCTTCAACCCGTGCTACACTGTGGCAATATTAAGAAAAAGGGAAACATGGCCTGGGAAGTAAGCTGTGTATAGTAAGTAATGTATAAAGCATGGTTTACATACCTAAAGTAGAACATGTGCACTCTGGTGGCAATGCTGCAAAAGCCTATGAACCTACAGATCATTGCCACCAAGAAGGATCAATGGTTTAGATTGAATGAACAACAGGATAAATGGTTTAGAGTTATTTGAAAAATGAAAAGGCACAGAGAGATACCAGCAGTTATTAGGAAGTTAAAGTTTTTTGGGGATTTAGAAACATTCTAAACATAATAAATAAATAAATATATAATATACATTTATATAGTTTTAAAAAGTTAACATGGGATTAGTCCATGCAAGGAACTGCAACAGGTTAGCTTTATGCAAACTTCCCCTGCAGCATATAATGTACTTCCATTTTTTTCATTCTCCTGCCACTCTGTTTAGCTGCCAGGAGTAAGAGCAAAGCCTAGTTTGAATAGCCAACGTTGTGTCTTAAAAAGGGTTACAAACTTCCCTGGGACACTGCTGATTGACTCAGTGCTGTCACATGGGCAAGTAACATGGCATTTCCATTGGCTCCTGGCACCAAAAAGAAAGGAGAGGTATACTGCTGGGGATGGAGGGGGTTAAAGTAAATGTGTTGCTTTTCTCTGAATAATCAATTTAGAAAATAACCTTTGGTTTTTAACTTCTTTTTGTAGACTTTTTTTTTTTTTTTTTTAAACTGAACATGACAAAGGATTCCCAAAGCACCATGTGTTAGCTAAAGACACATCAGCAGATTTTGATTGCATTTGCCTTATTGAAACCTAGAACTAAACTTGCTGATCGGGGATGAATCGCTGTGGTGATTGCTCATTGAGTTTTGTGAACATCAGGCTGATTTCAGCATAGCCAAGAGATATACTCCAGACTTAACCTGGTGCCTGAATAGAATATTACATAATATCAATATGAAATATTTCAAATTTGCCTGACTAAAAAAAAAAATAAAAAATGCAAAACACCGCTATACATTTCCTTTAGGAACAATAAACCTCTTATACCCTAAGTAAGCTGGAAGATTGTTAGTAAGCTCTGGAATGTACACATTACTCATGTTTGCCATTACCATCCTCCTAACTGTATCCAGTGATGTTCTCAGCAATCTGACAAATAAAGAGTTCATCCAATGGTTTTTACTGTCAGGTGGATGGTTGCCATGTGTATTTCCACTTCAAGTGCTTTTTCTACAATGTGGTGGTAAGATTGATGCAGTGTTGTGGTGCCAAAGGACATAGTGTGTGTATTTCATATATCAAAAGCTTACAGTACTGGAACACAGCTTAATGAGATTTGGCAGGTCACTGGTTGTTTTATCAGTTGTGGAGTAATGAAGTGAACAGAATTCAAAGCACACCATTTGGCAGATCCGTTTAAAGCGACAGTTACCACACTGTTTGAGTTTTATAGTGTTGACAAAAAGTAAATTTAGTGGACTAGATGCTGGATGTTTTCTTGGTTAAAGGGGTAGTAAAGGCTTTTCGTTATGCTTTACCTACAGGTAGGCCTATAATAAGGCACAGTTTAGGAGATATTTACGTGTGAAGCCACTGGTGATGTCACCGGCGCATGAGCTCTGAAGGAACAACATACCCGTGTCATTTCTTCAGAGCCCTGTGCCGTGACATCATCGTGGCTTGGCCATTCAAAGGATCAGAGCACGCGAACCCAGAAGAAAAACTGGGTGAAGCGGTGACAGTGCGCCACTGGAGGGCTTCGTTGGAAGGTAAGTTTTACATAATGTGTTAGTATATGATGCATACTAACACATTATAACATTGCCTTACAGGGGAAAAGTTTCTTTTTTTCTTTCAAATTTACCACCACTTTAACACAACTTTTGGCATTCAATAACACTACGGAGATATTTTCCTATTTAGTATATCTGTTACATTGGGTTGACTGTAGTTTTTGTTTTCAGCTTTAAAGGATAATTTTTTTTTCGTAGAAATGAAGAGGAATGAACACATTTACAATATCAAGGATGTCATCATAAACTAGACTTCTGTCAGTATTCAGTAAAATAAGGGATTCCAGACGATCCTGTCCAATTGAAGACCTTAGTCTGAGTTTTACTATTTTTAACTATGAAAAAGTCTTTCACGAGACACTTGAGCGCACGCAAGAGTAAGACGTACTTTATATGCTGCAGTGACATTTGTATATGCAGAAGACAGCAAATTATGGTCGTACAAAATCCTATAGGAACACGCAAGACAGATCTTACATGCTACTGTATATGTTTAACATCAGTGAGATCTTCATTCTCAACTAAATCACTGTAGCACCCTCCTAGATAGGTGCTAGGTTAGGTACATTAAGGCTGGGTTCACGCAACCACTGGGTTCCGCAGTGCAGTTTATCGCATGTGATTCACACAGGAACCGCACCGCTAGCCTGTGCAAATCACATGCGATTTGGAGCCATATATTTTGAATGGCTCTATTCGCATTGCACCCACACCAAAAACGTGCAGGACCCTTTTTTGGGTCTGCACTAGAATCGGATCACATAGGTTTTTACACCTATGTGATCTGATTCTGCACATCACACCGCGGTTAGCATGAACGGGGTGCGATTCTGATGCGGTGCGGAACTCACACCACATCAGTGTGAACCAGGGCTTAGTTCTCTGGATCTCCTGTAATCAGTGGAGCTGCTTGTGATTGCTCTGGTCTGTGAGTTTGACTGTTTCACCCTGCCTTCTGGATAGTTCTGAAAAGTAGTGGGCTGGATGAAGCAAATCAGCCACTGAATATTTATGTTGTCTCCTTAGGGGAGGGGAGGGTACCTGTGAGTAAGCATAAATAGTCTGAAGCCTGGGCCTGCCTTATTCTTGTCCAGGGGGAAGGGATGCCAGCTTAAAGTGTTACTAAACCCAAAACAGTAAAATCAGTCTGTATATGCAGTAAAGCATGCATGTTATACTCACTTTGGAACCTAAGGGGCTAATCCTCTGCATTGTGTAAAAATGCTGTTTGATCCTGACTTCTCTGCTCCTCCTCTTGTTCAAATATCCACATCTTATCTTCTGATAAGACAGAGTGAACCGTAACCATACTGCACATGCTTAGTTCAGTGTGTATTACTAGAGGTTTTTTTTTCTTGGGAGAGTGCATGTGATCAGCACAGGGCCAAGAAGCACTGTCCAGACAGAGGTCAGGGGTCCTGCATCCCCTAGAGAAAAAAAGAAAGTCCTTCTACAAGCTTTAACAAGTGCTCTGCTGGACACTGATAGATTTCACAAGACTGTTCTTACTGCTGATGAGAAAAGGTATTTAGCAGTTTATATTTACTAAAATAATTGCATTTCCATGTTCTGTGTACTGTGGGAGACTAGATATAGTGAATGCAGGGTCCTGGGTTTAGTAACACTGAGCAGTTCAGCTGTGCTTCATTATTTGCTCATTGAGGTCTCAGCTGTGCTAGCTGGGGGGGCTATTGCACTGAACACGGCTGAAACCAACTGAGGGACATCTTTATTGGGGATCTGGTATTAATTAAACTTAAAATCAATTTAAGTTCCACGTACATGAATGAATAAACCAACCAGCAACCGCCCCTTATGACCTCTTTTTGATGACAAAATGTGTAGGGTGGAGCCACGCCGTGTGACATCATCACACGCTGGAGGGACAGTGGCCATCTTGTCAATAGAAACATCTTGTTTTTACCATGCTGGTTGGTTTATTTATTCATGTACGTAAAACTTACATAAATAAATTGATTGATTTTAAGTTTAATTACTACACTATGAGTTGCCTTTCTTCTCTATGCACTCCTTTTCCATTTGATGAGAGATTTTGCCATTTGGAGGTTTACTGAAGTTGGCGAAGCTACTCATTGGTTTAGAGGGAATTTCTATTGACGATCCATTGCTGCCTTTGAGGATATATCACACTGCTCATGTTAACCGACCTTTTGTGGTGTCAATCTTTCCAGTAATTGGTATTGTATAATTAGCGCCGCATGTATTTATATATATTATAGTAATTATTAGCAGGGGTTTCCTGAGACCAAAAAGTTATTTCAAGGGTTCCTCTGTGTTAACAAAAAAAATATATATCAAAGATTTGCATAAACAAGAATAAGATAAGAAAAGTTTAAAACAGGGAGTGAGGCCACAAAACACGATTGGACACAATATTACTGTCAGATTAGGGCAGGGGTCTCCAAACTTTTTAAGCAAAGGGCCAGTTTACAGGCCTTCTGACTTTAGGAAGGCCAGACTGTGGCCATTGGGAGTAGAAAATGTGCCGGCATCAGGGGAAGTAAACAATGCCCCATCTTTGGTGCTCTTAGAAGGAATTGTGCCCTATTGTTGGTGTCATTAGGAGGAATTGTCCCCCATCAAGGACATTGAGAGGAAATTGTGCCCCTTTGCTGATGTCAATGGGGGGGAAATTATGCCCCATTATTGGTGTCAGTGGATAAACTATCGTCCCAAGGGCCAGATAAAAGCAAAGAAATGGCCGCATCTGGCCCCCAGGCTGCAGTTTGGAGACCACTAGATTAAGGGAATGTAATCCAAACAGTGCAGTAGAAAGGTATACCATTCCATTGATAGGTCTACAGTGGAACCAGAGATGTTAGGCAATGCTCTTGGTTTGCTTCACCATCTAGTATTGACAATTTTCAGAAGAGCTTTTCATGCCATTGACCCTGAGAGCAGACTTGTCTATCCAAAAAGATGATCATGGGTATGACTGTATAGTCTACATGGCAACCAAAGAAGGTATACAATGAACTTGGTTCACTCTACCAGCTAGGATCACTAATTTAATCAAGTCTTCAGCACTTTTCATGTCCTTGACCCTGAAAGACCTGTCCATCCAAACAGAAGTGTTTTTAAGACAAAGAAAATGTTTTTTTTTTTTGTTTTGTTTTTTTAAGAGTCCAAAAAATACTTTCACTGGAGTGAAACACTGTGTAACATCAATAATCCCCAAGTGAAAGCCATGAGCATAGCATCACGTGCATACAGAATTGCACAAAACTGCTTTGTTGTGATGCTCTACTCCAGGGGTAGGCAACCTTAAAGAGGTGGAGACCTAACCCAACAACACTGAAGTCAAAGATCTCCGGGCATAGTGTTGCTTCCTCACACCTGATTTAAACCTCTAAATGCCGTACTACCGTAGCGCAATCGCCTTCATTGCACGGCAATCATGGGTTTAAATCAGGTGGTGAGGTTACTATGTCAAACACACTGACTGCTTTGCGAATGAGCCCTTGGTCGCATTCAGCAGCAGCACTCTTAGGGCTCGTTCATATGTAATGTTGGGGGGTAAAACCCTGCAATTGAGTCATAGTTTTACCAACGACAATCCCTACCCCTTTAGCTGCTGAGACACCAGCCAAAGGTGTACACGTTGCAGCAGGAATTACACCCCCTCAAAGGTGTACACGTTGCAGCAGGAATTACACCCCCTGTTGCTTTTTGTGGGTGCTACCACCTGTCAACTGAGACCCATTCAAGTAAATGGAGCCACTCTGCAAGTACCCCATAACTGCATGCTTCTGCGGGGTCCAAGAGGCTAAAACAGGTGGGGGTAAAGCAAGACACTGCTGACTGCTTTAACCCCTTGTTTTCTGTACTGCAGGGCAGCCTCATTCACTTGGTGGGTCATGCTTGGCAGGTGCTTCACCCACCAACCATGACGGGGTGTAGGAGCCACTCATTCAGCTCTTGCTCCCTACTACAGCTCCAACTTTATAAGTACTCCCTCTGCATTGCACTCTGATGTTCTGCGATGGCGGATGAGCAAGCCCTGACCATGATCTACCAGTCACCTGGTCGCAATCTACTGGTAGATCACTATCTACTGGTTGCTGACCCCCCACTCTAACATAGATTGCAATATTATCAAATTAGCAGCCAATAATGTTAACACCACTCAAGGGGAATTGTTCCAACTGCCCTTTCAGAATACCAAACAGGTTTTCTCCAGTTGTGCTACTAACATTAATTAAAAAGAAAAGCCTCTCTTGTACCATTCTCTCTTTGATATATTGGAGAATTATGCTGCTCTGTTCTTTCACTGCAACATCCTGTGAGGAAACATTTCCACAATGAATTTAACAGCTTCTTTAACCTCCTGACTTATTTGTTGTTTTACTGTGTTGTATATGATAGAGTTCAAGTGATTGACTGAACTTTGATTTAATCGAACCGGCTGTTGCTGAGCAGCATGGTCAGTTTTCCTCTCGCTGTCCGACAGTGCGGCTAGAAAGGAGATTGATTTATAAGTGACAGATCTGGTCTCTGGCAACTGGGGCTGTGCTGACAACCATTGCTGCCATTAACAGAAGATCACACAGCCTGCATCACTGTGTGATCTATCCATGGCTGCTTCCAAACACAGCTTTGGCCGATAGATCACACAGTCCCACCACATTTTTAAGAATGGTCAGCACTGTGAAGCTGTGGCAAAATTGGTACTGGCCCCCTGTCACAGATCAAACACACACCCACAGTGACTAGCTAACCGGGGCGTGGTCCGTGACTAGGGTAAAGAGGGAATGAGGGGGACTTACTTTGAGCATATAAGGACTTGTCGTGATCCACTTTCACAGCCCACGCTACCTTCGGCTAGAGCAGTGGTGGGCAACCTTTTTATTCAACTGAGCCAAATCTCGCCAAACCACGATTGAAATTTATTTTGAGAGCCACATTTTTAAAACTGAAAATACATCTCCCCATATAGTAATTCATCCCCCATAGTAATTCATCCCCCATATAGTAATTCATCCCCCATAGTAATTCATCCCCCATATAGTAATTCATCCCCCATAGTAATTAATCCCCCATATAGTAATTCATCCCCCATAGCAATTCATCCCCCATATAGTAATTCATCCCCCATAGTAATTCATCCCCCATATAGTAATTCATCCCCCATAGTAATTCATCCCCCATAGTAATTCATCCCCCATATAGTAATTCATCCCCCCTATAGTAATTCATCCCCCCTATAGTAATTCATCCCCCATATAGTAATTCATCCCCCATATAGTAATTCATCCCCCATATAGTAATTAATTCCCCATATTAATTCATCCCCCATATAGTAATTCATCCCCCCTATAGTAATTCATCCCCCCTATAGTAATTCATCCCCCCCTATAGTAATTCATCCCCCATAGTAATTCATCCCCCATATAGTAAGTCCCCCCTGTGTCAATTCACTGACCTTTGCTCCGCGCGTTCCTCTCGCCGTGTTCCCGCGCCGTTCTGGTCTTCAGGGCGGACTGTGAGAGGAGAGGAGTTCGTCACGCTGCCCCGCCTACATCCTGGCTGCCCCGCCTACATCCTGACAGCTGCAGAGTCCTGACTTTTGGGGCGGCCGCCCGAGACGAGGGAGGGGAGCGGCCGCCCGAGAGGAGGGAGGGGAGCGGGCGGCCGCTCGAAAGGAGGGAGCGGAGCGGGCGCCCGGCACACAGAAGAGCCGCATTTAAGTTTGTAAAGAGCCGCATGTGGCTCGCGAGCCGCGGCTTGCTGACCACTGGGCTAGAGGGAGACTCCACTCCAATCCAACTGGCTGACCACACACAGGCAGATGCAAATCTTACATACAATCTGGTGCACACTAAGGGTTGGGGAGCCGTCTAGCATTTGACACACCCTTCTAGGATTCCTTCAGCTATCCTACAAGCTGGAATCCCAGTGTTAATCACTATTCCACTGTCCACACTCCCCCACACCAGATACACAACAAGCAGTAGCTTACCAGCACCCAACAGTTTGTCCGCAGACTGGTCTGCTGGACCACCACACACGTACAGATCTCCGCCTGCCAGATCTGCTACTTTACAATTTGCATGCAATCTGCCAACATGCAGTGCAATTGCATACAGATTGGCAATAAACTTAGACCGAGCACACAAACACTATGATACAACAATCTCGCCCGAGCTTAATTACACAGAAGTCACTTATTAATTTTATGATTTAACATCCCGGAAGTGGGCAGTGCATAAAATATGTACAAAGAAAAAAAAGAAGACACACAATTGGCTATTCACTATGAAATAAAAACAGAAATAAAACCTTTACCAAGATTTATCCTGTGACTGGAGCAAGTCAAAGAAAGTTTGCAATTCGCTAATGAAATGGAACCGGCTCCATACGAATCACACAATCCATATCTCTGGATCTTCAATGTACTGAAATATG